AATTCTAAGAATGGAAATGCAAGGTCTTAGATCCTTCCTATCCTCAATCTGCTGATGAGAAAACAGATTCTAGATGACAGAACTAGTAAGGAGTTTTGAATGAGGATCCAGCCTAGATTTATAGGGCCCAAATATGCTTCTTACACTGTATCCCTTGACCTCTTTTCTGGCCATATTCCTTTCATAATTCTCTTAGCCTCAACTGATATACTCTTGTTCCATCTTACTTTTAAGTTCTTCCATTTTCTCCATATCTCTTTTTCATAATTAAAATCTGCATATATCCTTAATAAGCCACATCCTTTCAATGCTGCTCAACAGAAACCCCACTGGATTCCATTTTGGGAGGACATAAGAAATGGTCACCACTAATTACCTGCCATCAACTTTTATTTAGAATTCATGAAAATTTATTGAAAGAGAAATCAAGAAAACAATTTCAATTATAATAGCTGTAAAAAATAAAACTCTTGAATTTAACCAAGGAGGCAAAATATTTGTGCACTGAAAAGTATAAGACATGAAGGAAATTGAAGAAGGTGCAAATAAATGAGAATATATATCCCATTTTCATGGATTACAAGGATTAATAATGTTGAAAATGTCTATAACACTCCATGAGCTACAAATCAAAGCAATCCCTAATCTAAATTGCAACTTTTTTTAATAGAATAGGAAAAACAATTCCAAATGATTTGCATGGAGCCACAAAAGATCCTGTACAGTCAAAACAATCATGATCAATAAGAACAAAGCTGGAGGCATCATACCACCAAATTTCAAGACCTACTCCAAAGCTATAGCAATACAAACCAATGAAAAAAGACACACAGAACAATGTAACAGAATAGAGGGCTCAGAAATAAACCCATACCTTTATAGTAGTTTGATTTTTGAAAAAAGATGCCGAGAAAACATTAAGTAAAGGAGTTTCTTCAATAAGCAGTATTGGGAAAACTGTATATTCACAGGCACAAGAATGATACTAAACTATTATCTCATGCCATATAGAAAATTGAATTAAAAATTTAAACATTAAGACCTGAAACTGTAAATCTACTAGAAGAAAACATAGAGGGAAAGCTCCATGATGTGGTCTGGGCAATGATACTTTGGATCTGACACCCAGAGCACAGGCCACAGGAGCAAAACTAGACAAATGGGATCATATCTAATTTAAAAATTTCTGTGGAGCAAAGGAAACAACTAAAATAGTGAAGGTATAACCGGTGAAATGGGAGTTAATATTTGTGAACCATACATAAAACAAGGGGTTAACATTCAAAATATATGTGGAACTCAAACAACTCCACAGCAAGGAAATAAATAACCCCATTAAAAAATGGGTAAAGGGCTTCAGTAGACATTTCTCAAAAGAAGACATACAAATGGTCAATAGGTATGTGAAAAAAAAAAGAGAAGAAACACAACATCATTAATCATCAAACTTCAATGAGATATGCCCTCACACTTGTAAAGATGGCTGTTTTCAAAAAGTCAAAAGATACAAAGTGTTAAGCTGGGTGTTATGACACATGCCTATAATCCCAGAAGCTTGGGAAACTGAGGCAGGGGGACTGCATGTGCAAGACCAGCCTGAGCAACTTAATGAGACCCTGTATCAAAAAAGAAAAAAAAAATGATAGCAATTGTTGGTGAAGACATAGAAAAAAGGAAACTCCAGCACACTGTTGGTGAGAATGTCAATTAGTACACCTTTATGAAAAGTAGTCTGGAGGGTCGTCAAAAAATAAAAAAAAAAGGTACCTAACAAATTATCCCCAAACTCCCCTATTAGGTATATATGCAAAAGAAATGAGGGAAGTACCTTGAAGGCAGATCTGCATTTCCATGCTCAGGGAAGCACTATTCACAATAACCGAGATACTGAATCTATCTAAGTGTTACCAGAGGACGAATGATTAAAAATAATGTATTTTCTATACTCAATGGAATACTACTCAGTCATAAAAGAAGGAAATTCTGTTATTTGTGACAATGTAGATAAATTTGGAGGACATTATGCTAAGTCAAATAAGCCAAGACCGGAAAGATAAGTAACATGTGATCTTGCTTGTATGTGAAATCTAAAACAATCAAGCTTACAGAATCAGAGAATAGAATGGTGGTTTCTAGGGCAGGGGCAGGGGAGAGGACTGGGGACATGCTGATCACAGGATGCAAAATCTTAGCATGAGTAAGTTTAGTAGATCTATTTTACAACATGGTGACTATAGTTAATAACAATATATGGTATATTTGAAAACTGCCAAAAAAGTAAATTTTAAGTGTTCTCATCACAAAAGAGATGGTGTGTATGTTAATTAGCTTCATTTAGCCACCTATAAAGTATATATATACATTTTTATACATCATGTTCTATACCACAAATGTATATAATTTTTATTCATCAATTAAAAAACCCATAAGTTTGTCTATTCCTCCCATGCTCCCTCTCCCTACTCTACTATGAATCAACCTCCTTATATCAAAGAAAACATTCAGCATTTGGTTTTTTTTGGTATTGGCTAACTTCACTTAGCATTATTTTCTCTAACTCCATTATTTTCTCTAACTCCATTTACCCACAAATACCATGATTTTATTCTCTTTTATCGATGAGTAATATCCCATTATGTATCTATGCCACATTTTTTTATCCATTCATCTACTGAAGGGCATCTAGGTTGGTTCCACAATTTAGCTATTGTGAATTGTGCTGCTATAAACATGGATGTGGCTGTGTCCCTGTAATATGCTGTTTTTAAGTCATTTGGGTACAGACCGAGGAGAGGGATAGCTGGGTCAAATGGTGGTTCCATTCCCGATTTTCCAAGAAACCTCCATACTGCTTTCCATATTGGCTACACCAATTTGCAGTCCCACCAGCAATGTATGAGTGGCAAGGGGGCATGGGGTAATTAATAACAGTTGAATGTGATGATCATTATTGTCCAAAGTACATGTATGAAGACATGAATTGGTGTGAATATACTATGTATACAACCAGAGATATGAAAAATTGTGCTCTACATGTGTAATAAGAATTATAATGCATTCCACGGTTATATATAAAAATAAATAAATAAATAAATAAAAAAGTTTAAAAAATGAGACATCCAATTTATCATTGCAATGGACACCATATTCCTGGGCTTACTCACATCTTCCTGAGTGATGTCAGAACTTGGTGTGTGTGGCTGTATTCACACACACCAAGACATTCTTTTTGCAATAACATCATCCAACATATAGTTTAGTCTCAAGTCCAGTTGCCCCCAAATGTCTTTTAGAGCCACTTTAAAAAATGTTTTTTTCCCCCTATTTTAAAACTAGAATCTTATCAAGGTTTACTCACTGCATTTGGCTGTGTTGTGTCTATAATCTTTAGTTTCAAAAATTCCTTTCTTGGAATTCCCTTCTTGGTCAGCTTTGCTTATTTTTATTTTTATTTTTTTGTAGTGCTGGGATTGAAATCAGGGCCTTACATATGCTAGGTAATTGCTCTATGAATGTGTCATATCCCTACCTCCCACTCTGTGATATCAGTATACTTCCCCTCAACCACCAAGTGCCTTGGATGTAAGGACCATTCCTTATGCATCCTTGTATTCACCTCTTCCTAAATGCCCAACACAGTGCTTTGCATAAAGTAGCAATATTGAATAGCAGTTAAAGTCATTGAATCTAAAACTGGAGAGTCCTGCATTCAAAATTTCAGGCTCCATCACTTACTATATAGGTGACTATTTGCAGTCTCTAAGTTTGCAGATTTAGCCTCTTTATCTATAAAATGGGGCAATAATACTTACTGTTTCCCTATCTTGCTGTGAGGATTAAATGAGATAACAGCATAGAGCTAGAACAAATTAAGCATTCAACCAATGCTAGCTGCTGGCATTGTTATTGTAGTGATTACTAAATACACATCCATAAACATAATTTGATAACAGGCAACATTTCAGGGACATAATACTTTTATAGCAGATGTGTTTCTGTCATTGGGGGAAGAGGAAAAATATTCTGGAGAGAGGGAAGAGTTGGCTGTTAAAATGTGAAGAAGGTAGTCAGTGAAAAACATTGGAGCACAGTGTAAAAACCTTGAACTTTATTTCACTCACTATATATGCGACCTGGAATGAGTCATTTAATCTTTTTGGCACTTGAATTCTGAGGTTAGACTAGCACATCTATAAGCTCCAACATGTTATAGTTCTTGATTTCAAAATGGGAAGAATAAAATCTTTTTGGAGATAAGGAGTAAAAATGATAGTTCAGGTAGATTCTGGAAAAGCAAATAAATAATAGCCACCATGAATGGAACACCTTTCCTATGCTGCATATTGTGTTAAGAGATTCATCATTTCATTTAATCTCTGCAACAATGTAGTAAGGCAGTTATTAGCAAATCCTTTTGCAGATGTGACACTGAGGCTTAAAGAGGTGGGTAACGTGAGCAAGATCACTCAATCACCAAATAGCCTTATCAGGATCCAAATCTAAGACATTCTAACTCTAAAACCTCTGCTCTTACCCATCATGTCACACTGTAATGAGACGAGTGAGGGGTTCTAAATGTTCTAGGCTGATAGGTTGCTGGCTCAGGACTTTTGGATAAACAGCTTCTCATAGCTTGTCATTGTTCCGATTTCTCATATATAATGTTTTTCTTATTATCCTCAATCTTAAAACTTAAAAAAGAATTTGTGGAGACAGGGGAAAAAAATCCCTAAAGTTGCAAATAAGCTGCAAAAGAAGTTGCTTAAGATTACGAAGTTGTTGGTAGGAGAAAAACTCCAGTCCCAAATACATACTTTTCTATGAGTCTTACTCCAAAATATTTCTGATTTGATATTCTGATTCTGAGAAATTATAAACCACAATTAAGAAACCAATAAGGAATAAAATTACCATTTAGAGTTTAACATAGATTTTAGATATGGTATGTGGCAGTTTATCATCCAAACTGACAAACTTTTAAAAAGAGATGCTATTAATAATTAGACCAAGAAAACAGGTATACAAACAGGAATAAACTGGGATTTTGCTAAGAAAATGAAGATCGTTTGATTATGCTACTGCAACATTTTTATCTTTAAACATTGTATCCCTTGTGAGAAGCAATATTCAGTAAAACCACTTTGTCATTAGCCCATAAGTAAAGTGAAGTTGCTAAAAAAACAGTATTGTGAGCATAAAGTTGAACATGCTATATTTTAAAATGTAGTTTATTACCTTTCATTAGCCATAAAGCATTGACTCTGGAGTTCCTGCTGTTGTCTTGATTCTCTTAAGTTAGGGTCATGGTACTTTGGTCCAGAATGACTGGGCAAAAATTCCTTATAATAGAAATCTTCCAAATCTAATAATTTTCCCTGACTGTAAATGAACACATAACATATCATGACATCAGTGTAATTCTCTATTTACTTAAACCTACAGAATATTTGTTTTCCTTTTTTTTTTTTTTAAAAATAGTTATTGTAATTTAAGAGTAACACATACAGGTCAATATAAATGAGTCTTGAAATGTGCAAAAACCATATAAATCATAAATTAAAAAGAAAAACCGACTTGTCATCTCTTACTTGGAATAAAGCATTAGCTGCTGGAGCAGCTTTTCCTGGATCTCTTAGTTTTAACCTGGCATAAAACTAGTAGTTACTAAAACAGCCAGTGATAACGCTGCTCTTGTACATCTGTGTTCACAACTGACCCCAGGGCTGCTATCAGGAAAGCTGGTCTTTATGCACAAGCACAAAGCATTTTAAAAATATATCAGCCATCAGTACACTGATACACACAAGGTTTTATGATCTTAATTTCCCTCCTTCACAGGGAACCCTCTGGCCTCCTTCTACCTGTTTGTCTTTAGGGAATTTATTTCTGTGTCAGATTCTAATTCCTGAACACATTATACACACAGGGGTGTGTCTCAACCATTTTAATTCTTGGATCTACTCGGGCCAGAGTCTTGCTCCTGTGGTGCTCAGCACCTGTGGTCTGATGGACATCATAGGATGTAAACCAGTAGGTATGGAAATCCACCAGGTCTCACAGGGCTTCTGGGTAGATGTTTTTAAAGTTACAGATACCAGTTTATAAATGGACTTTCAGGATGCCATCGATTCATAAATAGAAAACTCTGTTCATTCACGCATAAAAGAAGAACACTCTTTTGTTATTAGCACTGTTCAGAAAGTGGTTGGCATTGATTAAAACAGTGGTAGGGTTGTAGCTAGGGTTGTAGCTCAGTGGTAGAGCGCTTGCCTAGCATATGTGCTGCACTGGGTTCGATCCTCAGCACCACATAAAAATAAATAATAAATAAAAGTATTGTGTCCATCCATAACTGAATATATTTTTAAAAAAGCAGTGGCATAATGTTAAAATAGTAGAGTATTGGTTGACTGAAATGTAGGAAAATGAAAATCCCCTGAAGTTAAGTGTGCCACATCTGTAGCTTACACAAATCTTGCTATCCTAACAAACCCATGAAAATAAAAATAAAACATGAGATTTAGCATGTGTTGAAGGAGAAAAAGCAAAAGGAATTTAGGGAAAGAAATTCTGCGAATATGAGTATGTTCAAATTGCCCAATTAAAACTATTCAGTGGACTGAGAAAAGCAAATTCTATATTGGGGATGGATGGTATCCTTTTTTTCAAAACATGTTCAAGTCCTTAGAAAATGCTTCTTACAGTGCTGGGTCAATATATTTTCAGTGGGAAAGATCTTGTAAATTACACATAAACAACACATTTTAAAATATGTTGAGAGCACAGCACTACTAAATGTATCCACATAATACACAGGATTTTTGACCATAATTTGAACAGTGGATTTATATCTCTGTTTGAACAAGATGACTTGTTGAAATCTAGAAGTAATCATTACCTGTCTTTCCTTGGTCTTCGTTTCTCTTCTTGGATTGACTTCTAAAGGGAATAGAATTAAAAAGTTCTAATATATAACACTGTGTCATCATAATCTGAAATATGATGGCATTAGTGGAAGATAGGAAAGAGGGAAGAGCCCAGTGAGTAGATTTATAAATTTATAAAATTATTTGGTCACTCATAAAAGACCACGTACTATGTGATTCTAATTGTATGGAATGTACAGAAGAGGCAAATCTATACAGGCAGAAAGTGGATTTCTGAAAGCCTAGGGATTGTGGGTAGGGAGTGACTGCTAATGGGTAGGGTTCCTTTTAGGGGTGGTGAAAATCTGGTAAAATTGGTTGTGATGATGGTTGTACTAAAAGCCATTTACTTGTATGTTTTATATGGCATGCAACTTACATCCCAACAAAGCTGAGTGAGTGTGTACACTCGTGTATAGACATGTCTGTGTACATCTTCATACAGAAAATGTAAAAAAAAAAAATTAGGCAATTGGTATTAATTTTGGAGCTAGAGAGAGACCTAAGCTCTCTCTAGTTTAGGAGAGAGACCTCTTAGCTAGGGAAATAAAAGGAGAAGAGCTCACATGATCAAATTCTGGGCAACAACAAGAGGGTGACAAGCCTTTTGAAGAAACTCAAGAGATATCACCAGAGTATAGGGGAAGGACTAGAA